AGATTATACTGAGTGAAAAAAAATTTCAGATAGTAGCTAGTATAATTCAGATAACAATGAGTATAATCCAGATTACAATGAGTATAATCCAGATATTATTCAGTATAATCTGGATTATACTAGCTACCATCTGAAATTTTTTTCACCTCAGATGTCACTGAGTATAATCTGAGATGGTATCCAGTGTCATCTTGTTGTTTCCGTGTTACAGTGCAATTTAACAATAATCAGTATTTAATAAAGTAAAATTTTATTTATGTATACTACACAATTCATTGCAGTCACGTAGTGACTGCAAAATTGCTAGCTGTAATTTAAATTGTAATGCAAATTTTTTAAAATTGTGGAACTTTTGATTCAAAATTTCCATCTCTATACTCCTATAAAAGCTCTTACAGTAATTATTGAACATCCTGTATATTAGGATTTAATATAAGAAATTATTTTAGGTATAAAAACTTCAATTACATAGTGGTGATACTTCCTAACTAGATTTTCCTAAAAAAGAACTAAATTTTTCCGTTAGTGTAATTATAATTAATAATATTTATAAATATATATCTTTTCTTTAGGAATGACAAAAATTCAACAGTAAAATTCCTCACCAAAGGAGACAACAACTCAGTAGACGACCGAGGTCTCTATGCACCAGGTCAATTGTGGTTGACGCACAAAGACGTGGTAGGTCGGGCACGAGGATTTTTGCCGTACGTCGGCATGGTAACAATATACATGAACGAGTACCCGAAGTTGAAGTACGCGGTTCTTTTGGGGCTGGGTCTGTACGTGCTGGTGCATCGAGAATAAGTTTTTTTCAGTAGCTAAGAATTTAGGCTAAGGATTTTTTAAGTGAGCAAATAAATAATAAATAATAAATAATAATAATAATAATAAATTATTTAATTAACTGTGCATTTAAAATCGAGTTTAAGTCAATCATTATACTTGGATAGTAAATTTATTTTTTGTTAACTCTTGTTTGAAAAAGGTTTTAAATATTTGTATAATAAATAATTAATAACTATCATTATTTTCGTGATTTAAATTTAATCCAACAGCTTTTTGGCTGGACTGCGAATCCTGGAGTTCTGTCTTCAGGACGCGAAGGCTGACCCTTCAAGGATTCAAAGTTGAAATTTTGAAGGAGCGTTGCGAAAATTTCGAAGACGATAAAACGGGAGTAAGTTTCTGCTGGACAAACTCGACGACCTGAAAAATAATTATTTTTTTTTAATCGTCATTTTTTAGAGGAAATTTTTGAAAAAAAATTTAATTCCTTTGAACCATTTTGAAAATTTTAGTGCAAAAAATATGTCTTAATGTTTTTTAATTTTTTTACAAATTTTCAGGAAGTTTTAAAAATTTGACTAATTCGTGTGGATCTCCTTAAAATATTATAAAAAAATTTTCTTGGCGGGAATTTAAAAATAGATTAAAAAATTGAATTTTCAACACGGAAAATGAAAAAATTTTACCACATCCAAAAGGTAGTGTCAAATCTTTAACAATTTTTCCATTTTCGATAAATCTGTCAGGTCGGAAATTTTCCGGGTCACCCCATAAATCCGGATCACTGTGAACTGCGGATAAGTTTGGGAACACCATGGTACCTTCAGGTATGGTATACTCAAACAATTGGGTGGTTTCTGTGCACCGATGACCGACGCTCAATGGAGCTAGTGTTTCCATCCTCATAACTTCTCTAATTACAGCTTCCGTAAAGGGCAACCTTGAAAAAAAATTTTCAAATTTTGATAATACATCTATAAATTATTATAAACTTGGAAAATTTATTTAACATTAGTAACGATCAAGCCTCTAATTTTTTTAAAAAAATATGTTATAATCTAAGAGCCAGTCTGTTGTAACTACCAGCCACTCAGGTGCGGCAGGTGTGAAAATTTCATGAACTAAAAATGTATTTTAGGAAAGCTGCAATTTTAATATGTCAAAAAATACTCGGCTGCCCAATTTCAAAATACAGCAACTAACATTTAAAAATTTTTCTTATTAAAAAAAAATTTGCCTGACAAATTGATAAAAAATTTGATTTGATGAATAGAAAATACTTTAATATAAATATTTTTAAGAAAAAATACTTGAAATTAAGGTCTAAAAGTTATAAAGAATGCAGCAATATTAAAAAAAATTAGGTATAAAAATTTTGCAGTTACTGTGTTTTAAAATTGGGCAGCCGTACTATCATAGCTATTTAAAATCAAAATGGCAGACAATTATCACGGTTCTAAAATGGTGGCAGAAATTTTGAAAATTTTCATGGTTTTAGGAACGTCTGCAAAAAAAATTTATTTGGAATGTTAAATTTGTTGCTCTAATTAGAATTTTGTTACTTGATTAGATTCCGAGCAATCATTAATAATGTCGATCAATTCTGGATTGTGTGATTGCTAACTTAACAGACGTGTTTTCTGATCTGTAAAATAATCACCTGGTGCGGTCGTCCCAGGCAGGAAGACGATTGGGTCCCACTACACTGTCTATTTCTTCTTGCACCCGTTTCATAACTTCCGGATAGTGGATCATGTACTTGATGCAATTGGTTGCGACCCCGGGTGATGCTGACATTGCAGGAAACATAAAGTCGGTGCACACCATTACTAATTGCTCTGTTGAGAACATTTTGGCGTCAATGTCTTCGGAGTTATCGCCTGCTTTTTCGTGGATTTTCTTCATTTCGCGCAAGTAAGTCGGTATGAAGGCATCATTGGTTTCTTCTGACAAACTTTCGTTGGAGTCATTTAATTCATCGATGAAATCCTGTAACAATTTATCTTTTTTTTTATATTAATTCAGAATTTTTATCTCGGTAATAAATCGATAGATTAGGATCATGTATGAAATAATCGAAAACATTAATTAGGTCTCAGCTGATTAGATTAGTGGTTCAAAGAAGAGGGGGTTAACTTTAAATGTCAAAGTACAATTACCTCAACGAAGTTAATTATTGCCCGGGTTCCATTTATATAATCAGTGTATCCAAATAAATTTCCAAAATATCTCAACCAGGGTGTCATAGTTTTAGCGCCTCCAGTAACGTCTCCTCCTCTTTGAAAAGTTCTAGCCCATTTGCACAATTCGCGCAAAGATTCATGTTCCTCACCGGTTTCTGTCCTCGGGAGTCGCTTGTTCGCTATCACGGCCCAGATGTAATTGGCGCTGAGCGGCGACAAAATGTCGGGGAATAACACACGATCCTTGTCAACGACTTGCTGAAACATCGATTAGTCGTTTTAATTGATGAAAATGATAAATTGTTCGTGACAAACCTTCTCTTTGTCATTGATCGGCCCGTTTTTGATAGTATCCACTAAAACGTCCAATTCTTCAGCCAAAACGGTCTCTAATTGCGCGTGTCGCCTACCGAATCCCAAATTCCTCATATTGTGCAACGCGAATCTTCGCTGCTGCTTCCATTCATAGTCGTCATTGAAAAACATCCCTGAAAGGCCAAGAGAAAGATTTTAAGGGTGATTTTTTAAAAATTTATCACTGTTCCAACATTACCTAGTTTCTTCCCATTAGCACGCGCCTGGAAAATATAATTTTCTCCTCCTCTTCCATCGAATTCTTTTCTCGTCAAAACTTCTTTTACACTCGCGTAATCGTTGACAATAACGGTGTAAGCGTCGCCGAAGTAACACCCTATTATTTTGGACTTTAATTTTTTAACATAGTAAGCCACCGTTTGATGGGGGAAGTAATAATTGCCCCAAAGAAGAAACCAATAAGACCCCCAAAGCGGCAGTCTGATGATTCCTATAAACGATAAATATTTTTTTTTATTCAGTTAAATTTATTTTTATTAAGATCATTACCTGGGGGTGAATTTTTCGGCTTGCCGGTCACAAAGTTCCAAATTAAATAACTTAACAACACAATTATTATTACCAAGAGAACAACAGACATTTTCGCCCGAAAAAGTTTTAATCATCACTGATATAATTTAAATTTTTAATCTGCAATACAGCAGCATAAGCGCAATTTATTTATAAAAGATATCGTTGATACTATATATTATTTATTATCCTTCGTGTCTCGCACTTCGAGATTACGAAGATAGTATCGCTACTTACATGTCTTCTTGGACCACAAGTTCAAAGCTCAAAGTGAACGACTGGGGCGCCTCTTCACTATCGTAGCGTTGCCCCTTGATCATTCGTTGATTTTGATCATTCGTTGTTTTTGTGTCAAATAGATCACACGTTTGATGCGAAAGTGAACAGTTTTTTATTTTTTATAATTAATTATAAATTATAAATTTTATATTAAATTGCTAAATTGAAGATTCTGAAATGGGTAAGAGTAAAAAATCAAGATCAAGAAGTCCGGATCATTCGAAAGAAAGAACTTCTAAAAGACTTCGGAAACTAGAAGAAAAGATGGATGAATTAACATCAGGTTTTGCTTTAATCAAAGACGCTATTTTGAGACGTAGTCGTTCGTACTCAAATTCAGGCGAATCTGATATCGAAGGTAATTGTTTTTTCAAGTTAAAATTTAATTGTGAACACGAGATGCAATCACAATATATTCGTAAATTTTTACCTTCATGCCCGAGAGGCTATGCATGATTTTCATTTATGAATAATAATCATAATAATTACGTCTGTTTACAAAAGTTCTCTATTTTATCCGAGAGGTAAAATGGAGCTTGTATGGCAGTCTGACTTGATCTGGAAGATTAAGTAGAGATTATAATTACTCTGTTTTATTCGGGAGATCAAAACAAAGTAAATATTGAGTTAACCAACAAAAATTCATAGCAAAATGGATTAAATAAACATTGAATGTCTGCAGGTACTGGAAGCGGTGATGATAAATCGATTGGTGAAAAGGACGATAATGGGGAAGTAGTTGATCTGTCATCTAATTCGCAGTCACAGGTTCCTCCAGTCATTTTAAGTGATCAACAAAATGCGGGGGAAAGTACTTCTTAATCAGGAGGTAATAAAACTGATCCACCGGAATCAGAGACTAATAAAAACAAGGAGAATGGAACTCCTTGGGAGTTAGATGCTGAAGATCTTCGCATTTTTGGAGCAGAACCTATTGAGGAGAAGCCTGAATTAATTCTGCATTCTAGCGTTGCAAATCGCTGGAAAAAATATCTTTCTGAGGGTATTAAGAAAGAGATTAAGGAGTCATTATTGGAAAAGTATCCCAGGAAGGGAAAACTTTCGTTTGAACCGCCGATTTTAAATGAAGAGGTTGCAGGTAACTTAAAAGAATCGGCGTTGAAAAGAGATACATACTTTGGCTCAACGCAGAAATTAGCCGGATCTGCCTTGGCTGCATTGGCTCCAGTAATTGAATCTCTGGCGACTCTTAAAGATCCAGACAATGTTAAAAGATTGGAGCAAGTTTGGGATGCCGCAAAATTGTTGATAGAAATCCACAAGTCCCAAACAGTCGCACGCAGAGCTTGTATTTTACCTACCTTGTCAAAACAGTGGGCCACGGCACTGGAGAAAAGGGAACCGGATAACTTAGCAGACTTTGCATTTGAAAAAAATCGTTAAAAGATTTGGAATATTGAAAATTGATTTGTTTGCTTCTCGAATCAATACTAAATGCGGGATTTATTGTTCGTGGAAGAGAGATCCAGAAGCCTACGCGTTTGATGCCTTCACAGTTAGTTGGTCTGATTGGATATTCTATGCCTTTCCCCCTTTTTCTATCATAACCAAAGTAATTATAAGAAAATCAAAGATGATAAAGCAGAAGGCATTTTAGTTGTACCTCACTGGCCGACGCAAGTTTGGTTTCCAGCATTTAAAAAATTATCAATTGGAGACTGGGTTTGGCTTGAAGCAGATCTTAATCTTCTAATTTCTCCTTGTAGGTCACGTCATCATCCCCTTGCCACAAAACTTACCCTGGTTGTCGCCAGGCTATCAGCCAAGCACTGCTAGGCAAAGGTATGCCCAAAGAAGCAGTGGAGATTTCATTAGCTTCACTGCGGCTGATTCAACTTTAAAAAATTATAATGGAACTTTGAAGCTTTGGTGGAATTGGAATGATGAGAGTGATGGCAATCTATATGAGGTATCTGGGGAAAAGATTCTAAAATTTTTAACAAAAAGATTCGGTGATGGAGTTGATCACAGCACAATAAATTCGGCCAGAGCAGCGTTATCCTTAATATCAAGCGAGGATGTCTCAAATAATCCTTTAATAAGTCGTTTTGTTAAGGGAGCGTCGAAAATTAGACCTGGAGGGCGAGGGCCTAAATATGAATCTACTTGGGATGTGGACCCAGTTTTAGCCAAATTAGAATCATGGGCTCCAGTAGAGGAATTATCCCCGAAGAAACTGACGGAGAAGTTGGTTGTGTTGTTGGCATTAGGCACAGCACATCGTTGTCAAACTCTGGCATTGATAAAGATTTCTAATATTATTACTTCTGAGTCTGAAGTTTAAATTAGAATTCCTGAAAGAATTAAAACTTCACGACCAGGAGCTCCGCAGCCAGTGCTAAGACTTCCATTTTTTCAAAACAAGCCTGAGCTATGCATAGCTAGAACATTAAATCAATACGTGACAGTAACTAAAGATCTTCGGGGGAGTAACGATTCTTTATTTATTTCATTAAATAAGCCATATGGTGCAGTTAAGAGCGAGACAATTGCTCGGTGGATAAGGTCAGCGTTGGAATCACTGGGAGTTGATAAAAGATTCACGGCACATTCTACTAGACATGCATCGACTTCTCGTGCTCATGAAAAAGGTGTCAGTATTGACGAAATAAAAAAGGTGGCTGGGTGGTCTAAAAACTCTAAAGTTTTTGCCGATTTTTACCACCAGCCAATAAATATTCGTGACAAAAATTTCGCAGAAGCGGTATTAACGCCCAGCACATAGTATTATTAAAGTAATATACAGATGAGTTGGCTGAGAGCATTAATTATTTAATTTTTTAATTTGTCTCTAGTTCAATTTAATTATTCAATTATTGTAATTTCAATTACTCAATAAATTATTTTATTTGCAAGAAAATTTTGCTCTAAACAGCTACCTTCGTAATCTCGAAGTGCGAGACACGAAGGATAATTGGAAGATCTTACGAGCCTACCGAAGGCAGGCGAGCGTTAGATCTCAATTATTCGAGTGTCTCGCACGAAAGATTCCCACCCAAATAGTACCAAGTAAAATCCCATCCCACTATTTCAGACAAAAAGTAAAAAATATGCCAGCTTTAAACTAATGATCAAATAACAAAGGGGCAACGCCACGATAGTGAAGAGGCGCCCCAGTCGTTCACTTTGAGCTTTGAACTTGTGGTCCAAGACATGTAAGTAGCGATACTACCTTCGTAATCTCTCGTGCAAATATTATTTGAGATAATAACCAATTGAACTTTTGTAAGTTTTTATCATTATAATTTTATTGTACAATATTAAGAGTATTTTTACAGAGAAACATTCTAGTTTTAATTTTTAATAGTGATCAAATATCTTCTCGTTCGTCAGGTAACCGACAGAAGGTATTTTTCTAACTAGAGAATTTAATTAAATATTTTGCAAAGCGTGCTATAGTAGACTAAAACGTGAATCATTGCCGTGCCTTGAATTTGATCCACAAGCTTTTCGGCTGGACAATTAACCCTGGAATTTTGTCTTGAAGACTTGTAGGCTGGCCCTCCAGGCGCTCAAAGTCCAAATTTTGGACCAAAGTTGTAAAAAGTTCAAAAATTATAAACCGGGCGAAAGTTTCTCCGGCACATACTCGTCTTCCTGCAACAAAAAAGTCAATTTGAAAATCGTTAAAGTGATCTATCTGCACTTGAAGGAATATAATTAATTATATTCACCTAATCCAAAAGGTAGTGTCAAGTCTTTAACAATTTTTCCGTCTTCGACAAATCTGTCAGGACGGAAATTTTCCGGGTCGCCCCATAAATCTGGATCGTTGTGCATCGCAGCTAAATTTGTCAACATTAAAGTATCTTCAGGTATCGTATACTCGAAAAATTGCGTCGTTTCTGTGCACCGATGACCAACGCTCAGTGGAGTTACTGTTTCGATCCTCATGACTTCTCTAATTACTGCTTCCGTAAACGGCAACCTAGAAACAAAATTGCCAAATTTTGACGATACATCATTAAATTACTCATTTATATGTATACCAAATTTCAAAGCTTAAATTTTCCTGAAAAAAATTAGAAAAACGGTTGACCCTAAAGGCCATCCCTGCAACTTCCCGCTAATTCCATACTTAAGCGCTCGAAATTGTACTTTTATTACGTTTTTGAGCTCTTCGAGGTCAAAAATCTGATGGAATAAGATTAATTATACACTATTTTATGAATTTTCAAACCGCAATAACTTTTGAATGAATAAACCGATTTTCACGCGGTTGGCGGCATTCAACGCAGTTTTTCAATGCTAGTAAAGAATCTTTGAGTTAAAATTAATTGAATTAGGAATTTCGAAGTAATTCCGAAAAGACACTTTTTTTCGGGTTTCTTTCGACAACGATAACTCACGAAGGAATCAACCGATTTCGACCGGGCTGGTGGCGATCGATGTGGTTTTTTGATATTAAGAACTGATTAATTTTGGCAATATATCGGTAAAGCCGTTTAAAAGTTATTCCAAAAAAACCACATTTCAAAAAAATTTTTTTTATAGTTTTTTTGAGATTTTTCAAAATCTACCAATTCGAATTAGTTTAAATTGAATTAAAAATCTAAGTTTGGTCAAGCACTTTCAAATGGCGCTAACCGCGATAAAATTGGTCAAGATCTGATGAAAACTCGATTTTCGAAAAACGAGGTAAAACCAATAACTTCCCAATTTTTGAAAATTTTCAATTTTCTTAGCGGGAAGTTAAAAATGTTAATTTTTGGGACGTCTGCAAACAAAGTTTATTTAGTGAGTTTAATTTGTTGCTCTAATTAGAATTTTGTTACTTGATTAGATTCCAAGCAACCATTAATGATGTCGGTCAATTCTGAATTGTGTGATTGCTAACTTAACAGACGTGTTTTCTGATCTGTAAAATAATCACCTGGTGCGGTCGTCCCAGACAGGAAGACGATTGGATCCCACTACACTGCCTATTTCTTCTTGCACCCGTTTCATCACTTCCGGATAGTGGACCATGTACTTGATGCAATTGGTTGCAACCGCGGGTACTGCTGACAGGGCGGGAAACATGAAGTCAGTGCAGATCATTACCAATTGCTCTGTTGAGAACATCTTGGCGTCAATGTCTTCGGAATTATCGCCTGCTTTTTTGTGGATTTTCTTCATTTCGCGCAAGTAAGTCGGTATGAAGGCATCATTGGTTTCTTCTGATAAACTTTCGTTGGAGTCATTTAATTCATTGATGAAATCCTGGAAAATTTCATCTTTTAAGTCATTTCAAACCCTTTTAGTAAACGTTTTTAACTCTAATACAGCAGGAAGTTTAGGATTTAAATTACCTTGACGAAATTGATTATAGCTTGATTACCATTGATGAAATCGGTGTATCCAAATAAATTTCCAAAATATCTCAACCAGGGTGTCAAACTAATAGCACCGCCAGAAGTGTCTCCTCCTGCTTGAAAAGTTCTAGCCCATTTGCACAATTCGCGCAAAGATTCATGTTCCTCGCCGGTTTCTGTCCTCGGGAGTCGCTTGTTCGCCATCACGGCCCAGATGTAATTGGCGCTGATCGGCGATAAAATGTCGGGGAATAACACACGATCTTTGTCAACGACTTGCTGAAACATCGATTAGTCGTTTTAGTTGATGAAAATGATAAATTGTTCGTGACAAACCTTCTCTTTGTCATTGATCGGCCCGTTTTTGATAGTATCCACTAAAACGTCCAATTCTTCAGCCAAAACGGTCTCTAATTGCGCGTGTCGCCTACCGAATCCCAAATTCCTCATATTGTGCAACGCGAATCTTCGCTGCTGCTTCCATTCATAGTCGTCATTGAAAAACATCCCTGAAAGGCCAAGAGAAAGATTTTAAGGGTGATTTTTTAAAAATTTATCACTGTTCCAACATTACCTAGTTTCTTCCCATTAGCACGCGCTCGCAAGATATAATTATCTCCTAATCTTCCGTCGAATTCTTTTCTCGTCAATACTTCTTTTACACTCGCGTAATCGTTGACAATAACGGTGTAAGCGTCGCCGAAGTAACACCCTATTATTTTGGACTTCAATTTTTTAACATAGTAAGCCACCGTTTGATGGGGGAAGTAATAATTGCCCCAAAGAAGAAACCAATAAGACCCCCAAAGTGGCAGTCTGATGATTCCTATAAACGATAAATATTTTTTTTTATTCAGTTAAATTTATTTTTATTAAGATCATTACCTGGGGGTGAATTTTTCGGCTTGCCGGCCACAAAGTTCCAAATTAAATAACTTAACAACACAATTATTATTGCCAAGAGAACAACAGACATTTTCACCCGAAAAAGTTTTAATCATCACTGATGCAACTTAAATTTTCTTCAGCACAATAAGTCTATATATTAATCGCCATTTATTGGAAACAAAGATATTGTTATCAATTAATTAATAATAAACTTACGCATAATATATTATATATATATTAATAACTTGATTGTTGTAATAATTTACGAGGAAAATTAAAACACAACAAGATAATATATTTGCAGTGACCGCAATCTGTTATAATTAATTCCCATATCAGAAAAGAGTTCCCTTGAAATAAACAATCGATTAATTATTATTTTTTAATGTATGTTTATTGATGTATACATTTTTGCATACTTATAATGTTATAAGTTTAAGTCAGAAAAAAATTTTCATTTCTCTATTTGCCGAAACTTAACTTCAACTCAAAAAATAGAAAATTAATCCGAACAGCCTGGACCGAGAATCGAACCCGGTTCTTTTATTTACGCACTAACGGCTCTTCCAGTTAAGCTATCTGAGACATCCTCTGTAACAACCTTTCAGTTAGCTAATAATTTTTTGTTTAATACCATAGAAAAATATTTATTGAAATATAGTCGATATAATTATTTAATTAAAAAATTCATATTTTTTCTTCATTTCAAAAATCTTCGATTTACCAAAACCATTAATTTCAATCCACGTGTTACGATAGTGATAATTAAATTTCAAAAAATAGCCCACTATCAATAATAATATATCATATCATTTTTTTTCCAATTTTATGATAAAAAAAAAAGAACGAGGTATTTATAATAATAATAATTATCTTCATTTTCTCCAAAATAAATTATAATATATACCTTCACAGGAAGATATCGTGAAAATGAAACTAATTATGGCACTGTAAGTAATTTTCCGGTAGAAAATCCGCATTTTCTTCCCTTGGAAGGTAAAATCCGACTTTTGAAGAAATTTAATGAAACTGGATTGTTTTCAAGAGTGCCGTTCAATCCAGTGTATTACTTGCGAAAGCCGTTTTTTGACAGGGACGAAAATTTCTACGGAAAAATTGTCCGAGACGAAGAAGAAAATATTCATTCATAAAAATTACAATTTTTTTTATACAAACTCTCAAAAATTATGATTTATAAATTATATTACTTATATTGCAAAATAAGAACTGTAATTACTGTCATGATAATTATTATCAAATCACTGTTATTATAATACGATTAGTGGAGCCTTAATCAAAGATTCATTTATCAACCAGTATAATAATTCCTTGATCAATAGTCCTAATCCAAATTTCTGAAGGAAAAGAGGAAAAATTAGAGTTTTTAAAAAACTATGCTAAAAATAATGTAATTTTTATAATTTCATACTAGAAAAAACGTAACTGGTACTTAAAACAGTAATAATTTTTAATTTTTCCCCAACTTACCAAAATGAAATTCAAATCAAAAACAATTCTTCGCTCAGCAAGATTTTTCACCCTAATAACTTTCCAAATTCCGGTCAAGCATTTCCATTCAAACATTATTATTCAGTTAATATACCGCAAAGTCTGGTTCTTGTTGATGGTAAATCAGTTCTGCATGATATTACTGACAAGTTTGAATGTGTACCACAATATTAACAACATCATAGTCTTGGTTGAAAAAATAAGCATGCTAATGCTCCACATAATCGCGATCTTCAACAACTTCTACTGGAAAAGAAATGAGCACGAGTTCTATGTAAGTTTCTTCTCTATTAAGGGGTTACATAGGTTTCACGGTTTCAAAAAATCGATTTTTTTCATCTTATTAAATTCTACAACATCTCTAGAATATTGTCCTAAAGTTTCAAATCGATCCGAATAATAGTTTTAAAAAGTTGCGCGCTCAAGGCGCTGTTGTATTGTTACTCAAAACTTTAAACGCGTTTTTCTCAAAACTATGTTTTCAAAGACGGTTGTCAAGATTTCTCGAGAACTACTCAACCGATCTTGATGAAATTTTAGACAGGTCTTCGAGATATAATTTACAAGGTCTTGAACGAAGGATTTTTTTTTTCAATTACAACTATTTAAAAAAAAAAATCCCGCGAAATTTTAGCCAAATTTTTAATTTTTTTGTAAAAACCTCTGCCAAAAATCCAATTTCCATTTTTTTTTTTTCCTTCGTTCAAGACCTAGTTTGAAGTCTTAACTAAAGCACATATTTTTTTTTTCACTTCAAATAATCCCGCTAGGAGTCCTGCTGTCCACGCGGACGCATCTTTTTTCCGAGGGCTCGCCGGAAATTACGTCACATTAGCAGAGTTTTTAATATTTTTTTTTTTTAATTTCAATAATCCCTTATTAAACATCTGTATCTTTAAGACAGTAAAAAGTTTGAATAAAATATTTAATTTTTTCTATTAAAAAAAAATTGTTGAAAATAAGCCATTTTTTCCCGAAGGAAACCCATGTAACCCCTTAATTACCTTACTGTTAATTAAGACACTAATCATACCAATTGTCCTCCAGAAAATGTTGGACGACATAAGGATCTTTGTAAAAACTTCCAATAAATCAACGAAGAAATTGTTTAACGATTACATTAATCGCTATGTGATAGTCGTGATATTAATAAACGTATTTTCAGTTCCGTCGATATTTTCCATGCTTTTTGGACCAATATTTCTTCCGCAGCTCTTTCCGCTGGTTGACATCTATCCTTTTGAATTCCAAAAGTTCACAATTTTGTATTACTTCCTATTTTTTACACAAGTGGTCGCTGTTTATCAGCTGATAATTAATACCATGGTTATTTTTAACTCCGTGGTGTTGTTCACTTACATTATTACGGAGTTCAAGGTTTTGCTCAATGAAATCGAGAGAGTTATCAAGAAATACGAGGATAAACAGTTTAATGCCCTCATAAAGAAGCATATTCAATGTATAGAGTAAGTATTTTTGGCTAGTGGGCGTGGAAATGTGACGTAGTTGGCTCTAGAGTAGGGAGGTTGCTATAGTAACGCGCTGAGGAGTGGGGAGGTTGCTACGCTAGAGGCGGAGCGTTGCCACGCTCCGAGCAAAGAGTGGGGAGCTCGTGACGTCACTAGTAGAAAGTGGGGATACAGACTAAATTATCATTTCAAAGCTCAAAGTTGGAAATTATTTTTCACATTAGATTCGCTCGAACCTCCTCAACCGCAATTTTAGTATAAAATAAATTTTAATTTGCAGATACGCCGAAAATTTAAACTATATGTTACGATTCATGATACTGAGATGCTTTGTAACAGTTATAGTGACTGTTATATTTGCTGCGATACCTATTTTATTTGTAAGTTATAAAAAAAAAATTTAGTTAATAAATTTTAAATATGGATATTTTGTTTAGTACACTAAAATTTTTGAAATGATCCGAGGAATTGCTATTGTTATCACGTCGTTAATGTGTGTTTTGGCGTTTACTTTTCCTGCTGATGATTTGTATAAGATGGTAATTAATAGATTGTGATTAATTTATAATTTATTATTAATTATTGAGCTAATTTTTGTTTTCAGGGAGAAGAAATAGCACACGCAGTTTATGATTCAAATTGGATCGGAACTTCTTTGTCGTTACAAAAATCGGTGATTATAATAATGTGTCGCTCTCAAAAACCTCTTGTTATTAAAGTCGACGGAATATTACCTGCACTTACTTGCAAATTTTATGCATCGGTAAATATAAATGTATTTTATATATTGTTAATTATAATTTAATTATAAAGAAGAATGTGAAGAAATATAATTATGATTACAGTTTTTGTCAATGACTATGTCATATTTCACAACGTTGAGAGCTTTTGTAGAAAGTCAATAAGGATGAATCTTTTTAAGAAGAAATTGTTTTCAAAAATGTCATATGACAATCATATATGATCAGGTGTTTCATGAATGATCACATATGGATCATATATCATAATATGGATCACATATGATCATATATAGACCATATATATAGCGCATCTGAAGGTAAAAGGGCGCATATTTTTTTTTTATTTTGCCAATCGAGTAGTAGACACATTTTACGCTTAAAATTGAAAAAAAAAAAAATTGCAAAGGTAAAAGGACGTATGTCTTTAATTATTCGGCCTTTTACTTTTAAGAATTCGAAATTTTGGTGATCTAAAGGTGAAAGGGCGTATAATTTTTTTTTCGGCCAGCTTACAAAAGAACATATTCGTAGTTTAAAAATGTGAAAAAAAAAACTTTCTGTGGTAGTAGCGGCGTAAAACCTCAACTATACAATTTTTTAAAGTTAAAAAAGAAAATATATCGAAAAAACAATAAATTACGCGTGATTATTTTCTCGCTTTTTATTTTAAGAAATAGTTATTATAAAATTTGGATTCTGGATTGTTGATCATGATGAAACAGCTGTTGTGTGAACGGCGCCAGTAGTTATATTCAATAGGGCGATTAAAGCGAGAAATTTCAAAATACTTCAATGTTATCTGTCATTGTGATTTTTTTTATCACTTAATTTGTTTTTGATTGATTTATTTTCTATTTGTTTATATCAAACTTAGTATGTGAGGCTGTTATTTTAGTATAACTTGTCTTGTGAAACTATTATTTAACATTTGGTATCAAAACTACAATTTTTTTTTATGCGCCCTTTTACCTTTGAGTAGTACTTTTCTTAAAGCTAAAAGGGCGTGTGTCTTGAGATAGGCCCTTTCAGCTTTAGGATATCAACTTTTTTTTCACAGATTTTTACGTTTCAGACAATTTCAAACCGAATGGCAAAAAAAATTTTTTTATACGCCCTTTCACCACAAATCCCTATTAACTGAATTTTTCTGTAGATTTAAAAATATTCAAAAATTATTAAAAAAAAAATTTTAATAAAACAACAAACAGATTTAATAATAAGTTTAATAAATTTTAATAATAAATATGGCATTACACTGTAAATCACATTTGATTAAATAAATATGTCTATAATACTATCATTATTTGTATAAATATTATTATGTTGTGATGTCAATTAATATAGCAATATAAGTAATTAATATCCATCAAATATTTAATAAATCTAGGCTAATTGCAGTATTTAGTATCACTGAAACAACTAGTATGAATACTATTTTTAATAATTATTCTCATACGATCATCCCTGATAATTGCAGAGCCTATGTTAGGAGTTACTTTGTACAATAAATAAATACACCTCTCTAAGCTTCTAATTATTTCTTCGTCGAAGATCGGCGTCTCTGTCAGATCGTAATGCAACTTTAGGAACGCAGTATACAAGACCAAACAATGCGCTGGAATCCGCACGTGGAACATCGACAGCACTATTTCTGCGAACTTAAATTAAAGGGTTTTTTATCTCAATCTATTTCAATTATTATTATTATTATTATAGGTAAGTAATTACTAATATTTAATTCTGAATACCTGCAGAGTTGCCTTCAGGGTTTTCAGATCAGTGTGATGACCGCAATATTCAGAAAGTATTCTAATTAGGCGCTCGCACCATTTGGCACATCCAATATTTGTTAGTAGTTGGGGTAAGCTTGTTATATATGCATGACGAAGTTCTAAATTGTTTTCTAGTTCCATGTTATTTAACAAGGTTGCTAAAATGTCATCTCGTTTCGTCCACTGTAAATATTTTTATTATTATTATCATTCTCACCGATAGGCAATTTATTATGATAAGTATTTAGGCTGCATTAGAATATCTCTAGATACATAATTAAGAAATGACCTTGTATCTTGTGAACTATTGACATTTTTAATGATATAAGCTCATTCTAACATGATACTCATCGAGACCTTTCATTTGAGTACCCACATCAATTTTTCATATATTTTATATATTTATATATATGTATATATGAAAAATATATATCAAAAATGCATGTGGGTACTCAAATGAAAGGTCTCGATGAGTGTAACATCGAGATGAGCTTATATATTTAAAAATGTCAATAATTAAGAAATGACCTTGTATCTTGTGAACTATTAACATTTTTAAAGATATAAGCTCACTCCGAGATTACACTCATCAAGAGCTTTCATTTGAATACCCTCATGCATTTTCACATATTTTTCATATATTCATATATATAATATATATAAATATATAAAATATATGAAAAATTGATGTGGGTACTCAAATGAAAGGTCTCGATAAGTATAATCTCAAGGTGAGCTTATATCTTTAAAAATATCAATAGTTCAAAAAGTGCAGTGCAATTTAACAAGAATTATTATTTAATAAAGCTAAATTTTATTTATTTAATATTTGTTCCAGACAATGTGTCCAGTGTGCTTAGACCGATTAAAGAACATGATATTTTTGTGCGGGCTTTTGAGCTCTTCGAGTTCAAAAGTCTTATCAAAATTTGATAAAACACGATTTTTTTAATTTTCAAACTGCTATAATTTTTGAATGAATGAATCGATTTTCAGGTGGTTGGCGGCAATCGACGCAGTTTTTGAAGTTCCATGAAAAATTTTCAATTTTAAATCGATCGAGCCATGAATTTTGAAGTTATTACAAAAAAACACTTTTTTTGATTTTTTTCGACAACGATATCTCACGAATGCATCAACCGATTCTAACGTTTTTGGTGGCGATCGATGGGGGTTTTCAAGGTTAAGAGCTGATTAGTTTTTGAGACCGATCGGTTCAGCCAATTCGGAGATATTCAAAAAAAATATAAAAAAAACAACTTTTTTTTTTCACTTTTTTTGCATTTTCTCGAAATCTACTGGTCTGAATCGGTTCAAATTTTCAGGAAATCTAAGTTTAGTGAAGCCTTTTCGAATGACACCAACCGCGATGAAATCGGTCAAGTCGTTCAAAAGTTCCAAGAGGTTTACACACACACACACACACATACATACATACATACAGACGTACGGACATCATCGTAAAAATAGTCAGGGAAGCTTCCTGTGACCTTTAAACGTCGAGATCTGATGAAAACTCGATTTTTGTAAAACGGAGTGAAAACAATAACTTCCCGATTTTTGAAAATCTGAGATTTTTAGCGGGAAGTTAAAAATTTAAAATTACCAAAGAAGAGTGCTCAAGAATTTTCCTGATGCAAATCAATCCAACGATCCGATTCTCCGGAACATAGTCGTCGTAGATGATCAATGCAGTCGGCAAAACTTCCGTCAGATATTTCAGCAGCCCAGGCATCTAAAAAAAAAGTTGGGAATTATTTTCAGACCCAAAAAAAAATTATTTCTTCCCAAAAAAAAAAAAGAAGAAATATTTTATACCTCTACTTGATGCAGCAGCCATTTGTAGCAGCAAACACTTCCTGGAAAAGTCTTCCAGGTACTCTTGAGCAGCTTCCCTCTGAGCAGCAATAAAATGTCCCGGAGTCTATTGTCTTGATCATTGTTCGCAAAAACGTCGGAAAATTTATCAACGGCAAAAAACCAGCAAAGTTCTATTAAAAGCTTGTTTGCTAATTCTAAAGTACTGGAATTATTCCAGGGATTTTTTTCGCTTTGTTCTCCGATTATAATTACCGATTTAAGCAAAATTTCCCTCACATCAACGTCTTCAATTGACAAAGATCGCGAATCTACATTGTAATTCTTAAGGTTGTTTAATTCCGCGAGTAAATCTATCAAATTGCCGTCAATTGTATGGGAATAATCGTTGAAATCATTTTTATCACAAGGTCTATCAATCCCTATTAATTTTTGCGGTACCAAACAATTGTTAATTAAATTCTCAATGTTTGTTATAATTTTATTAATTATCAACTCTTGCGTATTTGTTATTTCCATACTTTCGATATTTTTCAGCAAGTTATCCATTTTTTTTTTTTTTTTTTCAATCTTTTAATTAAATTAACGACTCAATTTTTTAATTTTTCTTAAACAAGACACTAGGTCGCATTATTTTTTATTTATTTTAGTCGGTTTTTTTATTTACTTCGTTAAAATAATTAATTTTCGCAATGGAAGCTAGTGCGTTTTATTTTAGTGTAATTTTGGGAGGTTAGAGAGCGGAGAAATTTATTATATATATATATAAAATATATAAAAAGAGGAATTTTATTTTAAAGAAGTTTGTCTTATCGATTTGTTTTCTGGGTTAGAAAAAGAAGTTAAAATTAGTTTGTTTTTTGGCCGATAGATGGCCCTGGTATGAAAGTTTGCTGTCGCCATTTCGGGTTCTGTAATAAGCCGACAAGATGGCGGCACTGGAGAATTTTTAGGAGGTTCTTATTGATTTTTTGAAGTGAAAAAATATTTTTTTTTTATAAAAACAATTATTATCATTTTTAGATATTAGCTAACTAGATTTTTATCTCAATTTTTGGATTTTTACAATAACTTAATTGAAAGCAGACAAGATGGTGGCACTGGAGAATTTTTATTGATTTTTTTGAATGCAAAAAAATATTTTTTTTACACTTAACTTTTTTTGAAAATAAATTTTTTTTTTAATAAAAAGAATTGTTTAAATTTTTAGATGCTAAGTAAATTTTTATATCGATTTTTTGGATTTTTATAACAATTAAATTATTAGAAAGAAGTTACACATTTTGAAAAAAATATTAAAGGTGCAATTTAAAGGAAAAAAAATTTTTTTTTTATATTTGTAATTAAAATTTTAAAAAAATTGTAAGGTGGCTGCTAAATTCAGTATAATTCAATTTTTTGGATTTTTACAAATAAATAAATCGAAAGCCGACAATATGGCGGCTTTAGAGAATTTTTAGGAGATTCTTTGTTGATTTTTTGAATGTAATACAATTTAGTAAGTTTTTTTCTTAATTGTTATTTTGTATAATTAATTGTCTTTTTTTAATTTATTATCTTTTTTAAGATTAATAAAACACTTATATTTTATGAAAATCAAGTTAGCCGACATTTCAAAATTTTTATAAATTTTTTATTGAAAAAATTTCAATTAAACAATTTAAAAAAAAATTGTCACATGTTAAAAACTTGGAAAACTATAAGTACAATTTTTTAGAAATATCTTTTTAGTTGTAATTTAATTAATAAAAAAAATCAAAAATTTTTACACGTCTTCTAACTTCAGTGTCGTTATATTTTTCAAAAACTTTGACATTTTTTTAATTATTTCAATAAAATTTTATTAAAAGTCTATTTTTTCACTGAAAAAAGTTAAAATATATATTTTATAATTATAAATTAAAATTTTATTTTAAATCGTTAAATAATCGATAGTGTTTTTTATTTTGTCCGAAAAGATAACTACATAATTAAATTTATCGAAACTAAAAAATCTAAATTTTGATTTATTATTCTCACTAAAGAGCGTTTTTAAAAGATTTAAATATTTCCCGCGAATTTTAAATAATTCAAAATTCGCGCCATTTGTTATTAATTCTCCTAACTACAAAACAATATAATTAAATATTTTCTAACCTCTATTTACAATCTACATTACTTCCTAAATCATCCAAAATGGCATTTTTAACAATAAGTAGATTTTTTAATTGTTTTTCTCTATTATTTATTGTTATTTTATTTAATCAACTCGGAAGAAAACACAAACGCGCTCTGTTGACAAAATTTCAAACATCTTAAGACCTAAAATGTGACATTGCCGGTAAAAAGTTTGACATAATAAAAGTGTTCGCTAACCTTCAAAATAATCAACAAAAAAAAGGTAAGCAAATAACAAAATTATAAGTAAAAAATAAAAAATCCAATTATTTTAGATGCTTATATTTATTTTATTGATTAAATAATTAATTTACATAAACAATCATCGACCAACAATCCATAAGTCACATTTTTTAACAGATCTAATTCAATATTAAAAATAAGCGCCCTTATTATCCCTTTTGCAACAATACTATTGAATTAATGTAGTTAATTTAAATGCAGGTACTCATTCCTCGGTAGCTTTACAATATTCAATGTAATGTACATAATTAATAATCGGAAAAACTGTAAATGGAACGTAGTTATCTATAAAAACAAATGCGGGGGAAGTTAGACAGGTTTATCAGAAGAATACAAATGATAATAATGCCCGAAACTTCTTTTTCCGCCCCAACTGTTAAACGGTTTTTTAACTCCAGGATCCGCAACATTGATGCCTTTTTTATTTAAATCTTCCGCGTTATCTTGATAATAATCAACTTGACGTTTTCCACCCCAACTGTTGAATGGCATCCGTGAAGGCCGGCGTATTTTTGGATCTAGTTTAAATGGAATCGAATTCCGCTTTCCACCCCAGGCGTTGAATACTTTATTTCTTCGTTCCTATTTCAATTTACATTTTTTATTATTTCTTCTATAATCCCTAGCGGTACAGTATTAATGCGGTATTTTTTCAGCATTTTTTCGGTTGTTTTGGTCAGTTTTTTCATCGAAATATTACGGAACATTTACGTTCAAAATGCGAAATATTTACGCTAAAAATGCGGAATATTTACGCTCAAAATGCCATACATTTACGCTAAAAATTGCACGCCTCATAGCGCGAAGCGCGTGAGGTTGTGCTTTATACTCGACTCGTTAAGATCAAGCAATTTTGTGATCTTTAAATGCCTCTATTGCAACCATATTACACTTATACAATGATATAAGTAGATCTACACCGAA